GTTCTATGTCAATGGCCTCACACACACACACACGCGTTCCGTTAACGCTACCACCGAGTGGTTCAGGGCTTGGTGGGGGAGAGGTTGCCGATCGGCTTGCTGATGTCAGACCTAATACTGTTAGGAAACAGGTAAATGCGTTTCTCGCAACGCGACTAAATGTCTTATGACATGTGCAAGATGCAATGGCTGATAGTCAAGATAAACAAAAAGAATATGCAGAAAGCATGCGAAAGGCAGAAGTTGTATTAATGATTATGAGGTCGGAGACCAAGTATTACTTAATGCTAAAAACCTACCTACCAATGTAGTATCCGCTGTCTTTAAGACGAAGTTGCGTCCGCGCTTTATCGGACCCTTTAAGGTCATTGCCAAGAAAGGCACAGCGTATACGCTTAACTTACCGCGCAAATTGCGTAGACATCCTGTGTTCTATGTCGCCATGCTAAAACCTTATCGGGATCCGTCCCAAATAGACGCTAAGGCGCTCGCGCCGGGCCCATTGGCATTGTCGCGGGACGGAGCATCTGCACCAACAAGTCAAGTTGACCCTGCATTCGGGTCCGACTCTCTTCCAGGGACTCAAGCCGGGAGTTCATCGTCTGCCTCTCCTCACGAAGGGTCAGCACCTCTTGAACAAGCTCGGCATGAGCTTGTGCCGGTACACCGGCCTCCTCCGGTTTTGCTTGATGGACAGGGGAACCTTCAGTTCCATGTTGAACGTCTTCTGTGGAAGCGTCGCCGCCATGGTCAAAATCAGTATCTGGTGAAGTGGCGGGGATATCCCGAGTCGTGAAACTCATAGGAGTTCGAGGTTCCCCTTCGGCAGGATAGCCCATACGCCGTGGACGTTTTTGAGCGTCGTGCGCAGGGTCAACCTGTTGGCGATGACGTTTCTCACCAGTAATGGTGGGTGTAGGCGAGTTAGCGGCCTCGGCCTGACGTGAACTCGCGGCTACAGGTGTAGCCGAAATATTGGGATGCTGGGTAGCAGACGCATAATGCGTTCGTTGGGATTTCCCCGGGCCTTCAATTTAGCGTAATCGTAACGCATCTTCCTCTCAAGTCGAATATCCGCCACATCGGCGCTTGCCCGTAGGGCCCACATGCTGCTTAAACGTCGCGCATAATGCGCCCAGCGGCTGAAAGCCGTGTCTTCTTCGTCCTCGTTTTCCCCCGCGAACAGAAGGATGGGAACACCCTTATGGGAGGGACTGGCGCACCGCGCACTTGCCTATTAAGGCGTGCCAAGTATTGGCTTTGAGTAGTGATATGGGGCTCCAGATATCGTTGTCGAAGTGCCGTGCGTGTGGCAACATCCTCAGGTGAAATGGCATCAGGCCCAATGGTCCAACCAGAAAGGGAATGCCCAGATGATTCCTTAAGGCGTTTTCCACCGTAGGTGGTTTGAACCTGTACTGTCGGTGGTCCTGAAGTCTCTCCATATTCTTCGTCCGGCGCTTGACGCCTTCCTCTTGGTCGATGGTCTGCTGTTGCTTCTCGTCGGGTGGGTTGGTAACCGTTACCGTTGATGATACGTCAGGCGGGTCACGTAACGCTGTTAGCGCATCTGCTGCACCACGTTCAGGGAACGGATTCGGTGCATGAAGAGTGTCATCTTCACCCGTGAGGGTGGCTAAAGGGGACCCATCGGGTCCCACAAAGACGGTGTCACTTTCGTAATCAACCGCTTCGTCAAGGTCGTCCTCAATGAGGTCCCTAAGAGTCTGTGACTCACTGCCGGGAGGCGTCATGTTGTGTGCCGAGAACAAACCGTGAGGTTTTAAAAGTTCGCTAAAGCACTACCTCTATGAGGAAAGATGTCGAGTGACATTCTATGGGAACGTCAGTCTGGTGGGGGAGGGTGTAACGGGGTTACACGACGGTTGTAGCGTCTTTCCGAGAGTTTACGCTTAAACTATCCTTTGTATTGCATATAATGCATTATTATACTTCTCGTTAGAGAGGTATTAAATATGAGCGTTAAGATACGGTATTCGGTAATACCGTATCTTACCGATTAGGATTCGATAAATCGATAACGCTCCATTAAGTACATCATACACAGATGTTAAGACGATACGTCGTTCAATAGCAAAGTCTGCATATAATAACTACTATTATAGTAATTAATCTAGTGTAGTGTACTTAGAGTAGGACTATTCATAAAATCTTATAGCATAAATAAAAATCAGTTCTCATGTTGATTAAGATCGCAAGTCGTTCTGGCTTGTTCTCTTATGCACTTCGTGCGTTGGTTCTCTAAACCTCTAAGCTTCTAGCTTGCTCTTGCACTCTGTGCGTTGGTTCTCTGAACCTTAAGCTTATTGCTTGCTGACTAAGAGTCCCTCCTACTTCCTTAGAAGAGGGTGACTTTAACGTCGAATACTTAGTTCCTTAGAACTAAGTGGCTTTTAGCCTTAACTCTATTTAGTTCTCTCGAACTAAGAGGCTTCCAGCCGAAAGTCTTCCTCTGGCTAAAGAGCTGTGCAGCTCCGCTACATGGACTTATTGCCAGGCGAGTCTAGGAGGTACTGGAAATACCACGCCCCTAATAAATGGTTCAGGCAAGCGAAAGCCTCTGGAAAGGTCAACTACGACCATGCAAATTTGTTGTTCGATACTGGTGCCGAGATATCCATTCTAGATATCGCCTTTGCTCGTAAGATAGGCTGCATAATTGATGCAAGTGAACGACAAGAAAGTATTGGCATTGGAGAATCCGTATATACGCACTCGCATCAAGGTCACTCTGAATGGGAACTTGGTGTACATATTTTTAAGGTGTGGGTAGGCCCTATGGTAGGCCAAGATGCAATTTTGGGGATGGACTTCATGGTCCCAGCCGGTATCCGGTTAGAATTGGCCGACGGAACCCTTTGTCTCCCCGATGAAGTTAGGTCGGTATGTACAGATATCCGTTGGAGGATGAACGGAAGTGCCTCTCAAATTGTCGATTTCAGAATAGTGGAATTTGTGGGTCACGAGAGGCGAACGATGGGTGACCACCTTGATCGAAGGGATAGGGCGTCGACAGATTTTAAAGATAACCAACGTCAGCCCTCGCCCCTTCACATTGCACGAAGATACCAAGATAGGTATGTGGTTGACCGGGGATCAAGTTCCGAGAACGTCAGGGTTTGTCTCGGTGGGCTCTCGAAGATATGCGGAATGGCTAAATCTGGCTTATGAATCTACCACTGACCAAGTCGACCATCAGGTTGACCCATCGGAAGAGGAAGAGGAGCCACTAGTGGAGATACCAGAGTATAAGACTCCGTCACACATCTTACAGCGACCAGCGGCCCCAGCCTCAATGATGAATATGACACACCAACCGGTACCCGACAGAGAAGAACAACCGTGCGAAGAGAAGGTGAATTGGAAGGAAGCCAAACTGGTAGACTTGTTACAGGCAGATGACCAGGTGTGTTCTTTCGAGAGTGGGGAACTTTGGGCCGAGGACATAAGACAAGGGTGGGCGGTCATACCGGAAGTGGATACCGGTACAAATTACATCTGTGAGTAATGACTTGGAACTAAGTTTAATGAGGTGACAATCGATCAAAAGCTTGCTGGTATTTGTCAGTAGTTCTTGCATAAGGGAAAAGCATGCAATATTCAAAAGTGTTCAATGCTACACAATTGCTTCAACAATGTGAATATACATGGACCTGGTGGCGCTTACTGTTAGTGAGCCATGCTGAGAAGAAAATAGATGTGAAAGGCGTCTATCTCACTAAGAACTTATCCATTGACAACCATTAAGAATACCTCAGTAAAAAGTTTACACAACAGCAAACGTTCATGGTAGAGATGGCAGCGGAGGCGAGTTTACGACGCAATTCGGTTTTGGTTGGTCCAATGGTGTAATTCTTACTGTCCTCACCAAGTATCAGACGAAGTAGACGAAACCGATGAGACGTCGATTCTGGCAACACGCAATGTAATGCTGAACCGTGTGCTGAAACGGGTTGAGGTTAATGAGTAGGCTGCGCACTTAATGCCATTTGATACAAAACATGCGTATTTCCTACGCAAAAAGCCTATCGAGCACTACTTATAATATGGCTTTGCTCTACCTAGTCATTTTCAATGACACCAGAAATAGTAAGTAATAAATAGTGTGGATTGATGTTGCCTCTGCGGCGGAGAGATCCTAAATGATTAACCAGAGAAGGCGTCTGCGTGAAGGCATACTAGCGGGTGCTACTATGATATCAAGCTTCGAATAAACATTGTCGAAAGCGGGTAGCAAAAAAACACTAGAGTTCCTGCTTGAATGAGTTAGCAGGGTTCTCCTGGAAAACCGCAGACAGAACAAAAAGTGTCATGGAACGGATTCTGCCTGCAACTTGTTTTCCTATCCGTCTTACTCATAATAACGAAAGAATCGACCGATAACACCAGGCGTGAGTTCTGAAACTCGAGAAGGGAGTCTCTCGAGTAAAACAGTCATTTCCTAGACTGTCGCGGATAGAGCAGCTCTTTGTTCTATTCAAAAACTTGATTTTGGAAAGAGACAGTAAAACTTAAGGAATGAGCATGTGCCGCAAGTGTGTACCTCTCAATCTTCCCGATGACATTGAGCAAGGGTTGCCGTGATAAAGCAAATATTTCATCAGTCCGAAGATTTGGCTCATTTTCTCGTCTACCTTACAAAAAACAGGGCCGTATTTCTTGACACGGAGAGATTCCGTGGAGACGGTCAGGGATCTCGGGTTCAAATTGGGCAACTTGGATCGGAGCATAACGCGGTGATCGACAATCGGAACACACATGATGAGAACGCCGTCAAAAATGTAACTGTGTTACTATTCACTGCATTATTACGGAATTTACAAAGATGTATGGTATTGAGGCCTCACTTACTAGCAATTCATTTCCAATTGACGTCAGTTTGTGCAAGAAACAGAATTAAGGAATTCAAAAAAAGCTATTGTTAAGAGCACACTTCGTATGCAACTTCGGCACACACATTCATCGTGAAGCTGCGCAACTTAGACAGGACAGCCCACCTTACGCAGTAAAGGATTACCCTTCGTCGTCGAATTCGTAGATGGCTTCTCCATGTTCGGGTTCTCCGGAACACCTTGATCATTCTGATCATACACATTTTTCTTCTCCAACTTCTCCTTCGTCACCTTCTCCTGCTGCTCCTTCGTCTCTTTCTCCTGCTGCTCCATCGTCACCTTCTCCTGCTGCTCCTTCGTCTCCTTCTGGTGCTGCTCCATCGTCACCTTCTCCTGCTGCTCCTTCGTCTCCTTCTGGTGCTGCTCCATCGTCACCTTCTCCTCTCTCCTTCGTCTCTTTCTCCTTGCTCCTCGTCACCTTCTCCTCTCTCCTTCGTCTCTTTCTCCTGCTGCTCCATCGTCACCTTCTCCTGCTGCTCCTTCGTCTCTTTCTCCTGCTGCTCCATCGTCACCTTCTCCTGCTGCTCCTTCGTCTCCTTCTGGTGCTGCTCCATCGTCACCTTCTCCTGCTGCTCCTTCGTCTCTTTCTCCTGCTGCTCCATCGTCACCTTCTCCTGCTGCTCCTTCGTCTCCTTCTGGTGCTGCTCCATCGTCACCTTCTCCTGCTGCTCCTTCGTCTCTTTCTCCTGCTGCTCCATCGTCACCTTCTCCTGCTGCTCCTTCGTCTCCTTCTGGTGCTGCTCCATCGTCACCTTCTCCTGCTGCTCCTTCGTCTCCTTCTGGTGCTGCTCCATCGTCACCTTCTCCTGCTGCTCCTTCGTCTCTTTCTCCTGCTGCTCCATCGTCACCTTCTCCTGCTGCTCCTTCGTCTCCTTCTGGTGCTGCTCCATCGTCACCTTCTCCTGCTGCTCCGTTGTCACCTTCTCCTGCTGCTCCTTCGTCACCTTCTCCTGCTGCTCCTTCTTCTCTTTCTCCATATCATCCTTCTTTGCATTGCCTTCCTGCTTCTCCTCCCCAGTATTGCCGCCCTGGCCAATCTGTGCGTAAACCTGGGTTACAGAGACCTCTTGCTCGCTCTTCTTGGTATCGTCCTGGATGTTTTGGGCGAACATTGTCCCCTGAAAGGTGTTCGCTTCAGTCTGGACCGTCAGGTCAACAGCACCGAAACCGCCGCCTTCACCCAGTTTGCGCTGCGTGGTCTCTGCGACGCTGTGGGTCTTGGCATTATTGGTGTTTCTGCTTGGAGTCATCGAGCCCGATGCGGCATCAGTGAGCGACACAGCTGAAGCGGCAATCGCTGCAGCGAGTGCGTGAGCAATGATGCGTGAAAGTTGCATACTTGCAATAAAAAGCTTGAGGTGGTTGGTAGTATTGGATATGGGCTTTCAATGAAGCAAACGTTATTTGCGGAAGTTGGCAAATTGCGGAATGAGCTTCAAATGCTCGCATGCTCGAAGGCGAAGGGAGGGCTTGGAAAGGAAGCAAAGGCCAAGGGCTCCTTTTACTCTCGAGCTCACAGTAAGTATTGCATCAAAATTCTACCGAGTCTTTTGTTCAGAAAAAGGGGCTCGTCGTCTCGACGCAGGAATGTTTTTCCGGAATTTGCTCTATTCTGACAGAGACGCTGCTTCGATTTGACTCTCTCTTTTGCTTTTGGTGTGGTCAAATCCAATACTTGTCGTCGTGTTAACTTGCATTCTCAATGGCAACATTGAGAATACTGCTGGAATACATTCCAAGCGGTTACGAGTCCTAGATTCGATATTTTGAGATAATCTACCCGATCGCCAGGAATTACACATTTCTAACAAACAAATTGTTTCGTCTTGTGAGAAGACGGAATTACACATCTCTAGCAAACATATTGTTTCGTCTTCTCAGACTACGAAACAATATGTTTGCTAGAGATGTGTAATTCCTGGCGATCGGGTGTTGATGCGATAGTCCTGTTTGTTATGCGACGGCACTGAGCTGTACGTAGACATCCTGTTTTTTTATGTCTGTGTGGCGTCGCGGTGCAGTCTTTATGGACGTCCCAGATGGAAGGTGCATTTGGCAAGTGTCTCTGATTGATGCGGTTTCAATAGTTGCTGATATTTGTAGTGGGGACCGTTCCGCAATGAACGAGTGTTGCTACTTCAATTGTGGTCTGCAATCGCGAGGGCCGCATTGATTGCCTCTTTGTCAGGATTTCAAGTTTCTCGCTTAATGGCGCTACATGTATTGAAATGGAAGGTCGATCGCTAGTTGTAAAGGCTCTTTGTAAAGGCACTGCGAAGCTGCTCGCACTCTCTACATTCCTGCCGAAATTTTGCCTGAGCTTGGGATTTGGTGGCTATACGATGTATGACGTTCCTCGTCACTTCGTACGGTTAGTCTATGCACCAATCGCACGAAGGTATCCGACGTATGACGCAAAGGTATCCATACTTCGACGCGTCGACGGTTCTGCTTCAAAGTAGACCTCCTATTACGAATCATTTTTACATGCTGATTCTTGATACAGATTCGTTTCCCAAGGCTGGTTCATGATTTATGAATCATGATTCGAATCCATGAATTATGATTCAAATTCATGAAACAAATATATAGTTCGCTAACTGAATAATGATTTTATAAAAACAACTAATTGAGATAGACGAACTTGCTCCTGATACCACTCACACAATGGTGCCATGAACATCTAGGCCATTCCTGCCATTAGTGCCCTTTCAGGAAAAGCTTATTTTCCGAAAGGAGAGTTGTGAGGTGGAACGAAAGCTCAGTGTCCGGTCGGTCAACTGAGGTACTTGAACAATTTTACAGGAAAAAGGGCTTCCTTCAGGTGAAATAATCCTTTCAAATAGTTATTAACTAGTTCTGAGTACATCATTTGTTTTGTTGGGAGTAAAAATGTGGTGATCAAAAAGCTCTAGTCAATAAAATTATATATTACTGTACAGTATATGATTCATGAATCAGATTAATGAATAATAAATCTGAATAGGTTCAAAGTAACGCAGAAAAGAACGGCATCTGTATGATTATCTTAACGCCAAAAAAGCTTATATTCTCGACAGGGACCCACAATTACGTTGCTACCGGTACCGTCCCTACGTAATGATGCTCAACTTGGGTTCTTAGCTTTTTTGGTCAGAAAAAGTATTCACAAGCTTTTTGAAGGCCTTTTCGCCCTCACCATTCCTAAGCAATTGACGACTTTTCCACGTATACTGTACAAACTTATTAGTAGCCTGTTGAGGTTGAAGAACGACTCTTTCTTTACGTGCCTATCACTACGATACCGGTACAAACACCATCCGTGAATTATGCCTTAGAAGGTGGGTCACATCGATGCGCCTCTATTAAGTTGAAGGTCTAAGGTACCACGTACATTTTAGATCTTCCCGTTAAGTATCATATACTTACCGGACTCGTGTAACTATTAGCCCGTTTTACCATCGCCATTTTAATACTATTTTTGAATTTTTGTAAAACCTCGAAATTGTAACGGGGTGAGCCCGTTACATCATATTGATACTTATATGAAGTGTCAATAAAAATATTATTATAACTAATAATATTTTGACAATATTACCTTTTCTTATAATTTTGTTCCCAGATCTCCTTGAAGTTGGAGATGCCCTCTCATTGGTCGATATGGGCCATTATATCAACCAACGCGCTGACCAATGACCGATGGACGCGCGCAATGAGTGGGGGGCAAGTTGTCAACATACATAGTTGTAGTTTGATATAGTTAACATAGGTTATAACAGATTAGTTTTATTGGACAGTTAACTACATTAAATACAGTTTTCTTTTCCTTCTCAACTAAGCGTGTGTTTAGTTGATAAGCTTCCTCTGCTCACGTGTACGTGAGGTAATTGAGGCACCTGCTTTCACTGTAATCAGTGAAAGTAGACTATACTGAAATCAGTATAGTCGGAGGGTGCCCCATTACACCTAGTAGCACTTCGTGGTCCGTTCAGCGACCACCGCACCACCCGCTATGGAATCAGCGGGTGATGAACGTCATCACGCAACGCGTGATGATTTCCGCCATTTGAGTGACCTCGAATGGAATGCGGTTCAACGTATGGCTGAAACCATCGGCAACCCTGCCGTTGGTGCCATGTTGCTCTCTCTTAGCGGAGACGACCAAGATGCAACCATCGCCAAGTTCATACAATATGAACTTGACGAAGTTGTAAAGAAACTCACCTTGCTAGAGGAGCAAGGTTCTCAACAGGTTGAACTGTTGAAAGAACAAGGCTCTCAACAAGCTGACTTGTTGATGCAGCAGGGTGCTCAACAGTCTGAACTGTTGAGACAACAGCAGGCTAGTGCTGTTGCTGCCGGGTCGACGTATACACGTCGACCCGAGTCCTTGAAGATTGATGTCTCCAAGTACAAGGCGGTCGAAAGCGACTCCTTGTTGAGATGGTTCGTCGAGCTCGACGATGCCATCGAGGCTCGTCGCATTGATGATGATGCGATGAAGGTCAAGTTCGCCATGTCGAACTTGGCAGGACGTGCCAAAGCTTGGGCCTTAGGGCTCAAACTGCACGACCCATACGTTTTCCCAACGTATGACGTCTTCAAGGCGCGGCTCAAACACACGTTTGAACCGCCTCGCGCCGAATTCAGGGCTCGGGCTGAGCTCCTGGATTTGAAACAGGGTAAGCGTGATATACACGCTTACGCCCAACACGTACGATACCTCGTTAGCTGTATCGTACTGAACCCAATTGATGAAAATACGCAGGTTACTGTGTTCATCAAGGGTCTGACAGATGGTCCTGTCAAGACCCACCTGTTCCACTTGGAGCTAGAATCGCTGGATCAAGCGATCTCTGCAGCGGAACAGGAGGACTTTAGCCTACAACAGGCTCACGTCCACTCGGGATCCTATCGTCCACCGAGACGACAGGAGGGCGGAGGTCCAGAACCAATGGACCTCTCCTATGTAGAGAGCGAGCGACCTCGCTCTCCAGGGTACAAGCGATTGCAAAAGTGCAATCTCTGTCAGAAGTTGGGCCACTACGCTTATGAGTGTAGTGCCCCACGCCCAGTGTCTCGAAACACTGGGAGTGACGATCGACCGTCTGCCAAGAAGGGCCAGATACGTGGGTCCCACGCTGCTGCGAAATCGCAACAACGTGGTGGACCATCAAAAAACGGTCGGGGTCAGTAGGGGTGATCCAGCAACGTCAAGAGAGTTCGCGGGACTCTTGACGAAGGTTGCTCCCAACACACAGTCACTGTGTTGCCGCTCCCAGTGATGAGGTATCCCTCATCACATTGAAGATCGAAGTGACAAAGAACATGTCACTTTGCGCCCTAGTTGATTGTGGGGCTTCGAACAACTTTGTTCGACGCCAATCGCTAGATGATCGTAGGCTCAAATATGTTGAGCGCGAGACCCCTCCAACGAGGATGACGGTGCGCCTTGCAACTGGCGCATCCGTAACAGTAAAGAAACGTGTAGTGGGAATTCACTACACGCTTGAAGGCAAAAAGTACGATGATGATTTCATCGTACTTGATCTGGATGACAAATTTGATGTCATCCTAGGATTACCATGGCTCAGAAGGTATGAGCCATGGGTCAGCTGGCAGCATCGAACCGTGAAGATGCCTGCCGCTTGTTCATCAGATGGCATCTGATGAATGTCTTGGAGCGTTCACAAGCGTGTGAATGTACCACGAGTGAGTGTGATGGCCTCACTTGTGGTTCGGTCGTTACAAGAACTCAGTGTGACAGACAGTCACGCTGTGGAGCAAGCTGCCGGCGGCTGTGCACAAGCACAGGCAGCGCCGAGGTCCACCACTCGAACAAGTCGAGTGGACCGGGACATGAATGCTCGCCTAGAGGGCAGCATTCACCGAAGAGTAAACCGGTTGCCCAGAAGCGGCAACACGGTAATCCTAGATCAACTGGAGAGTTGATCCTAGAGGATCTCGCTGTGGTTGCGCCACCACATCTTGGATAAATCGATGGAATGAGCTCTATCTAGCCTGCGTGAATAAGTCCCCAGGAAATAACCACTGAGTGAATAAGTCCCCAGTGCCCTGAGGGAATAAGTCTTCAGGAAGTAACCGAGACGTTGAACGTCTTGGTTAATGACGGATCAAACGTAGGCGCTTATACACTTGATCTGATCGCGCCTCCGAAGTTAACTTCGGAGATAACTCAGTTGCCTACGCTAGAACCTAAAAGGTTCTTGCGTGATCTGCGTAGTGGCAAAGTCAAGCAGATCTGTGTGCTCGTCGCAGAGGACGAGTACATGACTGACATTCGGTCAGCAACAGTTATTGCCGAGAACGAACGGGTTCTCAGCAGCTCATCAATGGC